ATCTCCAACATCCCCTCTAGGCCAGGCCCTCGTCATCTCCCCCACTGAGTGACTCGGTTCCCCTGCCACCTTCCACTCTGCTCCCTTTCACTGTACCTTCTGACAGCAACTGAGCGAGCTCTTAAAAAGGGAAGTCAGGGCTTCCCTGGTGGCGCAGTGGTTGAGAGTCCGCCTGCCGATGCAGGGGACACGGGTTCGTGCCCCGGTCCGGGAAGATCCCACATGCCGCGGAGCGGCTAGGCCCGTGAGCCATAGCAGCTGAGCCTGCGCGTCCGGAGCCTGTGCTCCACAATGGGAGAGAGGCCACAACAGTGAGAGGCCCGCGTACCGCAAAAAAAAAAAAAAAAAAAAAAAAAAAAAAAAAAAAAGAAGAAGAAGAAAAAGGGAAGTCAGAACACATGCTTCCCCACTTTAAAACCCACCAGCAGTTTTCCACCTCCTCTCCGTGGCCTGGCGCCCACACCTTGCTGACCCCTTCTGCGGCTAGAGACTCCGAGGCCTCCTGGCAACTCCTAGAACGTGCCCTACTTGTGCCTGCCCCAGGGCGCTGGTGCTACACCCCCCCAGACAGTCTGCACTGCTGTCTCCCTCATCTGTCTATTCCCTGCTCAAGCGTCGCCCTCAGAGAAGGGGCCTTCCCTGACCACCCTGTCTACAGTAAGACCATCTTCCTTTCCCACGACAGTTAACGGCTTGCATGTCAATTGTTTTGATTTCCGGTTTGGTATCTGTTGGCTGCTCCTCTGTGTTGGCAGGGTGCCATCTGTCTTGTTCTCTGCCGTCTGCACCCTGTCCAGCATGTGCAGTAAGTATCTGCTGGAGAAAGTCAATGAAAGAGCAGGGCCTTGTTTACTGCAGCTTCCTAGTGCCCAGTCCCTGCGCTTGTGCACCTTCATCTTCGCTGGAGCACAAAGCACATATAATAAGTATCCAATAAGGGAAGACAGGGAACACTTACCAGTCCCTCCCAGAGGTGGACGGCCATGTTCTAGCAGCTATGAGGGGTGCCTGGCTGAATCTGGGAAGGAAACAGCAGTTGCTAAACACCTTCCACCTGTCAGGCCCTGGAGAATGTTAACATCTGTCATCTTGTTTTATGTCAATGAATCTTCACACAGATGAGAAGCCTGATCTGTGAGACCACTGACTTGCCCAAGTTCTCAGACCAAGGATGGGCCAAGCCGTGACTGGAACCCAGACCTTTCTGTTGCCAGAGCCCCTGCACTTTCCATAAGCCTAAGTAGGAAGAAATGAAGTCAGGAACAGGACTCCAGGCATGGATGTAGGGTGTTGTCTGGGCACAGAGGAAAGGGTGATTTTATTTTCTTATTTATTATTTAAAAATTTTTCATTTTGGGGCTTCCCTGGTGGTGCAGTGGTTGAGAGTCCGCCTGCCGATGCAGGGGACACGGG